TCGACTCTTACCTTCCTCGCCTGTTCACTCACAATAGATTACTTACCAAGTCTACTACGCCATTACCTACACAGGGTAGCTTCGTCTTTCTCGTTGTAGAAGGCGCCAGGGGATCCCAAGGTTGGCCTAGCAAGACCAATCACGCTAACGTGCAACTTGGCCCGGAACCTCGCAAGCTGCATGCCCTCATTTCCTCTCTCTTCCATCTAATCATCTAATCCCTCTCCCCGTGGAGGATCACACAAAAAAACACTTCAACTCACTTTCTTGGAAAACAAGAATTATCACGACTAGGTTCGAGATACCATAATTGGAGAGGAAGGGAGTTTGTGGGGGAATAATCGGACTACATCATAACCGTCCCAGCCTTGATCCAACCTTGGTCTCATTTCCAGCCCCAGGCACGAATCGACATTGAGAACAAACGCTGCGAGTCAGGTTGCGTTCACCTATCTGGCGCAAAGATCCACAGCAATCTCTGTCTATATCATTGCAATTCAGAATACGGCGTCGGCTAAGCTTATCACGAACCTGTGCACGTTCGAATATCATTATATCGACAAGCTAAGAAAGTAGAGCATTATTCATCTCAAGTCCCGTAATCCGACGAACTATCTCTACCTCGTTCAACTATCTATCTTTGCGCGGTTCCCTCGCGCCGCAACGCAAATGGGGTCAACAAATTTTGGTAATTTCGACGTATGTCTTCCTCAGGCCGGATTATGGACAATGCTCTCCCATTATGCTCACGAGCAATGCTAACATCGCTATGCTATTCAGGCGTTTTGCCGCGATTCGACTTTACCGGTCTGCAATGTACGTCCGCCTAGTGACACGGCTATGCAATATCCCGCCAAACACCCGAGGTCGCTAACACATGAATTAGGTTCTCTCGGAAAGTCATGACCAACGAGGCGGATGGGGCGGTTGCGAGCTACAAGGCATCCCTCTATCTGGTGGTCGCTACTTGGGAAATCTAGGTTCGTCTGGCTGGTACGGAACGAGGTGAATTACCGCTGACGAAGAGCAGGGTCTATATTACTTTGCGGTATCGCCATTGTCGTTTCAGCATTGCTATTGTTGCGTTCGGAGAAAAAGAAGGCTGCAGTTGGCCGGAGGTCCGTGTCCCTTACTTTCACTTCGCAGGCCATTTTGACTGACATGGTTTGTAGGGAGATGCAGTTGTTCCTCCTCGCCTTTATCATACTCGAGATATGCGAAATATTCACAGTTGGGGAGTTTCCTCTTAATGCGACAGTGCGGATCGTACGTAACATCTCGACAAAATTAATACTCGGTGCTAGCGAAGCTAACTTGATTACCTAGGCCTTCACCGGAATCCACGTCGGAATGATCATCGCGACGACATGGATTCTACTACTTAATGCTATCGTAGGATATCAGATCCTCGATGATGGCACTCCGGTTTCCATGGGACTCATGTTCCTCTCTGGTGCTATCCTCTTTGTCGGTACCGGTTATATCACGCTCGATACGGGATTTCACTGGACCAACCAATTTATTACCAGGGCCGACGAACATTATCGAAACATCGCACTTTACGTACTCTACCAGCTCGCCCCGCTTGTTTTCCTCGTGGCCTTCTTTGTCCTGGAAGCCGTTCTCGTCCTCAGAATCTTAGGTGAGATTCGGCCCATGATCTATCTCGCAGGCGCTGCTGTTCTGTTTGCGATAGGCCAGGTCTTCAACTACGTCATCAGTCCGTACATTTGCAACGGAACTAGCGGCAAGATCGACGGTGCGTTATTTGAGACGCTCTTCACTCTACTCTCGGTCGTTATGATCTGGGTATTCTGGTCGAGCATCACCGAAGATGACTGGCCGATTGCTAGCCAGCCTACAGGCTACCCTTAATTTTTCTCTCATTTTACTACGGCGTCGGCGTTCAGGTTCACCAAATATACCCGTTCTTGTTCTCTTCTTCTCATTCCTTGGCCGTTTCCCGTTGGCAACCATGTCGTTTTGCAGGGAACAGCAATAACAAAAAATACAATTGAAAATTTAATGCACGTAGAAATCCTAGTTATCCTAAGCAAGGGTGGGCCGAAAAAGCACGATCGCATGCGCAACGCAATACGAAGCGACGCAAATACGCTTGGAGGGAGGGCGGAGGGGGGGGGGCGTGATATTCATACATAGGTTGGCAGATGTGCCATTCGCCAGTTGGCGGAGAGCTAGCTTAAAGGCGTGGTTGATAGTATACCCCGGATGTGTGCGACTAATATATATGAGGTCGTATGGTACAGTTGAATAGTTCCGAGCTTGACGAGCCACGTTAGTGAAATATTTTCTTCTTTTCATGCTGCATGACGTGAGTGAGGCGGAATTATGTACCAGGTCTACATGCTATTGTATGATATATACATGTTACATGTACATAATAATAATAGTAGAAGCAGCATGAACATGTCCATATGCCCCACATGTACTACTCTAGAAGTAAAGTTAGAAACGAACCTATTATCTAGAGCTTTTCTGATTGGCCTAAATTCCAAAAGCTAAATACAAGGCTGTATATTTTCGGCAATAGCACTTTAACAAAGAAAGAGGTAGCAGCCTCGTCTTCTAAACCTCTTTATTTTTATTTACTTGGGCACTCTAGGTACTCTAGGACTATCGCAATACTTCCTTTTGGTAGCGCTATATCAAGAACTATCATATTATTTCCAGGGCTATGCTCTTCTTTAGAAGGCCCCTCAACAATGCTCTTAAAGTATTATAGGATACCCTCAGCTGCGTATCTACCTACATTCAGAGCTTAGGTCCCCATTCCTTTCTTCCCTTCTTTTCTAATTTCATAACACGACACCTCCCGACACAGAGGACACGTTATCCACTCAATTCTTGCCGATCCTTTTCGAAATCCCAACGGTACAAGCACGAAATCAATCTCAGAGCGTGATTAGACCATGGCCGACTCCGATGGTGAATTCCAGGCTGACGGCTCCGATGACGAGTTCGGCGATCACCAGGTAACATCCAGTACCCGAAACGATACGCGATCGCGGAATCGAACCGACAAGAGCAAGAAGGGTGTTCGCAAGGGCGCGAAGGCTGCCTGGGAAGATATCCAACGGTCGTGGGACACAGTCGTCGAAGATGCCGACGGTACACTCACGGGAGCGATCGAGGGCCGTGCCGAAGCGGAGAAGCGGGCGCGACTGCTTAAGGATACGACGCCATTACAACGTGGTATCATACGACACCTTGTTCTAGTTTTAGATATGTCCTTCGCCATGCTCGAGAAGGACCTGCTGCCCAGCAGGTACGAACTGGCCATGGCCTACGCCTCCCAATTCGTGAGAGAATACTTCGAGCAGAACCCTATCTCCCAACTAGCGATTCTAGGCATGCGGGACGGCGTCGCAGTCAGGATAAGCGACATGAGCGGAAATCCGACAGACCACCTAGAGAAGTTACAGGGCTGGGTCAAGCAGGAGCCTCAGGGAAACCCAAGTCTGCAAAATGCCCTGGAGATGTGCAGAGGTGCTCTATTGTGGGTTTCTACAGCTTAATCGGAAAGGATGAAGGAAGCGGAATGACTGACGATTTTTTTTTGGGTATAGCCACACACCATCGCATGGAACGAGAGAGGTCGTGATAGTCTACGGCGCCTTGATGTCTAGCGATCCGGGAGACATACATGAGACGATCAATGCGCTAGTCACTGATAGGATACGCGTGTCTATAGTAGGCCTCGCCGCACAAGTGGCTATCTGCGACGAACTCTGCTCGAAGACCAACGGGGGGGATAGCACCAGCTATAGTATAGCTTTGCACGAGGAGCATTTTAGGGATTTACTAATAGCAATCACGACGCCGCCCGTTACGCGGACGCAGGAGCAGAGCAACGCCAGCTTGCTTATGATGGGCTTCCCCTCGAGGACCCTCGCGGTCGGCGGCAGTACCCATTACTGCGCATGCCACAACCGGCCAACGCGCGAAGGCTACGGCTGCACCCGCTGCGGATCGCGTGTCTGCAGACTACCCGCCGAGTGTCCCGGCTGCGGGCTCACACTCATCTTATCCACACATCTAGCCCGATCATACCACCACCTATTCCCACTGCGCAACTGGGTCGAAGTGCCATGGACCCAAGCCAAGCGCTCCAAGGCCTGCTACTCGTGTCTTACGCCGTTTCCCGAGCCTGCCAAGACCAAAATCTCGGTCAAGGGCAAGGAGAAGACCGGCGGCGGCGGCGGCGGTGGCGCAAAACCACCGCCGCCGAGGGGTCTCAGCGAGTCTGGTAGGTACGCCTGCGAGGTCTGCAGAAATCACTTCTGCATCGATTGCGATTTATTCGCTCACGAGGTCCTACATAATTGCCCCGGATGCCAGAGCGATACTCGAGGCGCGCAGAATGGCGATCCCGGCGGCGGTGGTGGTGGTAATGGTGGTAGTAACGGCGCTATGGAGATAGATTCGTAGATCCTTGGATGGGCTCAAAAAGGAAGTTCGCCTAGTGCGAGATAGATCATATATCAGTCAGATTGGGTCTTTTGCAAGGTTAGCGTAGTCTGTTACTTGCTTGCTTGCTTGCTTGCTTATTTAGGGGCTGGATTTCTGTTTTTTGCTTCTCTCGAGGGAATGTCCGCCTTCTGGCATTAGGTATATGACCTATGACCTATGACCGACTGTTATTGTTGCATGGAAAAGGGGGCGTTGGCGGGGCCGCATACTAGTACTACTACTACTTATCGTTACTGGATGGGGTATTTGCACCAGACTCGATTCGAGGATGCGGTTATTCTTTCGTATAGAGAGGGTGCTTCGTGCGCTTAGTTGGGGTGGGGAGGGAGAGGAAGAGGAAGAGCAGTATAGATGGCATTATAATGGAATAAATGACAGAAGATTAGCCAGCTAGGTAGCTATAGCTATTTTATTTACAGAGGCAGCTTTATAACGGCTACATATACAGAGTTGTAGCATAGCCCTCCTAAGCTACCATATCCTATCCTATCCCATCCCATCCTTCGTCCATCGATGATGCGACATACAATTAGTCAATGAATCAATCTCGCTGTTGTTATGCCATGGTCTCGTTAAGTATTAGGTTAGGTATATCATACATGCGCCCTCTTCGTCCTCACTTGCTGTCTGACAAGCATGGTAGAGGATCATCATCATCTTCTTCTTCTTCTTCTTATTCTTCCTCCTCCCGTATCTTCTAACCTACCTACAAGTTCCCCCTTTGCGCCTGTTCTCGCTCAATAGCCTCGAACAGGCTCTTGAAATTCCCGGCGCCAAACCCGCCGAAATCGTGGCGCTGGATGATCTCTACAAACACCGTCGGCCGGTCTATAAGCGGCTTGGTGAATAGCTGTAGCAAGTACCCGCCCTCGTCGTAATCGATCAGGATGCTCAGCTTCTGCAGCGTTTCGAAGTCCTCCTCCAGCTCCCAGCTCCTCTTCTCCGCACGCATGCGTTCCTTCATAGTCTCGTAGTACGTATCCGGGACGGCAATGAACTCGACCCCCCTAGCGCGCATGGCCGTGACCGCGGCCACGATGTCGTGGGTCAGTAGCGCGATGTGCTGGACGCCGGGCCCGGAGTTGAACACTACGAACTCCTCGATCTGGGACTTCTTCTTGCCGGGCGCGGGCTCGTTGATGGGCATTTTTACGACCTCGTTGGCGCTGCTCATGACGATGCTACGCAACGCGCTAAACTCGGTGCATATCTGGCTGTCGTCGACGGACCAGAAGCGGTGGAACGACAGACACCGCTCGTAGAACTCGCAGGCGGCCACCATATCGTCCCACGACTGGTTGCCGACGCAGTGGTCGATGCGGGCAAGGTCGACGCGCGGGAGGACTATACTAGAGGGCGGGGATGAGCGCGCTTGGAAACCAGGAAGGAAAGGGCCTGTGTAATTCCGCCGCGAGATGAGAGTGTGTGTTGTATCGCCGTATGTCCGAATTACAGCCGTTAGTACGTCACCGTTCTGCTTGTCGCGGTGGAGCGTGGGGGGCTGGACGGAGATGGCGCCTTGTTCTACGGCGTGGTTATATACGCCCTCCACACTATCCACTTCAAAAGCGACGTCCCGAACGGCATCGCCGTGTCTCTCGAGGTGGTCGTGCATCTCCTTGAGCTGCTTACGCTCGTCCTCGGTGATGGGTTCATCTTTAGGTAAATAAGTATACGAGCGGATCGGAGATGTGAATACGAAGCGGATGTCCCCGCAGGCCACGACGTGCGATGTGAAGTACCGACTACCAGTCTCTAGACCCCGGTATGCAACCGTGTTGAAGCCGAAGAGCGTTGTGTAGTACGACGCGGCCTGCTTTGCGTTTCCTACCCACCAGGTGATGTGATCGTAGCCCTGGAAGTTGGGCACGCCAGCCTGAACGGCGTACTCGTCTGCGTGCGGGGAGTACCTAGGGGGAGATTCCGAGATCGCGGAAGGCGCCATATTTATATGATTTGGTTGACTGGCTTATACTCTAGAGGGCTTGCTTAGGATGGTAGATAGTTAAAAGTATAGATACCTGTTGGGGAGAGAGTAAACAGGTAGCTATGTAAGTGCTAATATGTGTAATGTGATTTTGAACACGAAATCTAGAAAGAGAAAACCTTAAGAGATAAAAATACACATATGAGAGATCTTCAATGTCATCTTACCTAACCTGTCTATCTATTCCTACCCGCCCTTTGATCCTAACAATATAACGGTTAAAGGGGGATAGGCCAGGGACTCTAGGTCGGGACGAATTCCGCACATCTTCCCATATGCCGGCTCCAGCTTATACGGCAAGGAGCGTCCCAGGCAACCATTACTGGTAAAGGGTCGTCAGACGGGCATTTGCGAAGCTGGCTTACCGATACGCTCGACGTGATAGGGCCGTGGAGCCTCTCAACCCAAATTTGGCGGCTGCGGAAACAAAGACGTCAGACTGCCGAAGCTAGCCGCTCCCCGTAGCTCATCCTCCCGGACCACGCGCAGTTATCCGACACAACCCATTGCTTGTACGTCCAATGAGGCGAGATGGCTTGGGACGGCTAGAAGGGGAAGAATGTATGTCCTTATCTTGCTGACCTTAGGTGCTGCAGGTGAAGGTTCGCGGAAGGTAGCAGCACTCTTCGGCATTGTATTACATAGTGACCTGTAGGTGCCGAAGTGGAGAAACGACGTTGTCTGAACGCATGATAAGACGTACAGAGCTAGGGCTTGAGTGTTGGTATATCATTGATCAAGCTGGGCCGTCCTACATGCATATCTGCTGTATCGCCCATTCCATTTATTCGAGGCCATTCCAGTTAAGATTTCTCGATATACTGTATGACCACACCATAACTGCCGTGTAGCTGTTTTTATTCTCACATCACAATCCGCCCAGAAGCGTCTTAGCACCCATTCGTCGTCACGATATCTTAGTTAGGCCCAGAAATACTCAATATGGCGACAAGCTCCCTTAGCCGTCGAGACTTTAACGTCCTTGAGAAGATCAAGGATCCGGAATCGAATCCAACAACAGCTGTTCTTGTGGATGACACATTGCCTAAAGATCCGAATATAACAGACACATCCGTATATGACCGTGTCTCTCGGAGAGAGCGGGATATCGTACTGGCTATGCAGCAGCTTGAGATGCAACTGGCCGGCTTGCGGTCAGCACCCACAGCAGAGCCGATACAGGAATATCGACAATGCTTGTCTGAACTCGGGGAACTCATAACAGAATACCCCAAATACGCTAGTGCACGAAACAATAGAGCACAGGTCTTTAGGAGGCTGTACGGAGATGCACTGCTGTTATCTGGTGATCAGGCCTCGAGAGGATTGTTAAGTGAGGTTGACGAGCTCGAGAAATCTCAAGCAGCAGATCTGGCCCTTTCCGATCTAGACCAGGCCATTTACCTGCTGACTCCAAAGAGCATATTCGCGGCTATATCACCACAAGCCGGAAAAACTCTGTCACTCGCGCACACCCAACGAGCAGCGATCTACCATATGACCTCCAAGTCCTTTCAGGCCGGAAGTAAAATCAACATTGTCGGAAGAAAGGAGGAAGCGTGGAAAAAGAATGACTTCGAAGAGGCAGCATCGAGAGATTTTGCCTTGGGAGGAAGATATGGAAACGATATTGCGAAAGCTTTGGCTGTGAGTACTAATCCCACAGCCAAGCTTTGCGGTCAGATGGTTAGGGAGGCCATGAAGAAGGAATATGGCCCCGCATATGCTTCGTAGCGAAGCTGCTTGGTTAATTTCCAACGAGTCGTTGAATAACTCCATTAGAGAATAGCCCCCAGTCGTTGAAAGAGCTGATCTGACTGAACACAATAATGATGATAAGTATGATGCCGAATTCTTCAGTCCTGTCCACCACTATCGAGGATGAACTTCTTATCTTGAATTGGTTGGTACTTAGCCAATACACGCATGAAGACTTGGCTTGTAGAGGAAGTTGCATTGATTTTGATTTTGGTTGGTTGGTTGGCTGGTTGATATAATAAACATAGCGAAGCCTCAGACTGAACTCAGAGAGTATATAGAATATTCCATCACTCAGTGATAAATATACCCACTATAGAATTGTGTGAACAACATGCCCAAACCACAAGTCTCTGCTAACAAGACGTAGGAGGTATGGTGGTTTCACTGTTCGATATGGGTATCATTGTGCCGGTTTACTGAACAGATTACTGACTCGTCTAAACGAAGCTTAAATTAGAAATGAATACTCATTTTACTATGTGTTATATATGAGATATGTACCTCTTCCCAGCTTCGACCGTCTGCTGTGTCGTTTTGCCCTTCTCCTTGCCTTCACGGTTAATTCTTGTAGCTGCTGCTCCGAGTCCAATCGCGACGGCAAAGATAGGGTCCGCCACGCGGGAGATGATATATGTTGGGGGAGCCATTTGAATGAGTCTTCCAGTAGGGATGTATTGTTGACCTGTTGACCTGTTGATCGTCCTTTATAGTTGTGGCTATGAGTAATCCGTAAAGCTCTCGATATAAAACAAGCCTCTTGAGCTTCCGATCCATTCCCCACTTTAACTTTTCTTATCAAATTGCTTAAAAGCTTAGACCACGTGAGATAGCTCGAAAAGCCCCACCCCACACAATCAAGCCAATCAACTAAATGAACCCTTTCTTCGCTTAATTTTCTCAGGCACATTTTGGATTTTCTTAGCCCATCGCAAACAACCTTTACTATCGAATTCATTCTCAATCGACCAATTCGCCAACCCACCGACAACACCTCGACTTCCCTTTCGACAAACGACGACAGCGAAGCCGATAAGATGAAGTTCCTAAAGGTTGGCCGAGTAGCCATCATAACCCGTGGCCGATATGCCGGAAAGAAGGTACGTAACAGACGAAAAAAAAAAAATGAAATTCGAAGAATTGAAGACTTGTTGGATATATACCTATATATGGTGGATTGGATTTGGCACAACCACGATCTCCGAGAAGCCGCGTCGGAATTATTGTATAAGCACAAGCATATATACGGCCCCTCATGATTTTACACCACATCGATATATTTATATAGTCGGAAAGAAATTGGGAACACTATTCTAACGGATCCAACTCTCCAGGTCGTCATCATCCAGCCCGTCGACAGCGGCAACAAGGCACACCCCTACGGCCACGCCCTAGTCGCAGGCATCGAGCGCTACCCCTCCAAGATCACCCGACGCATGTCTAAGTCGCGACAGGACAAGCGATCTAAGATCAAGCCTTTCATCAAGGCCATCAACTACAACCACCTGATGCCCACACGATACACCCTCGAGCTCGAGGGCCTTAAGGGCGTCGTTTCCGGCGAGACCTTCAAGGAGGTCAGCCAGCGCGAGGACGCCAAGAAGAACGTCAAGAAGGTCCTCGAGGAGCGCTACACGAGCGGCAAGAACAGATGGTTCTTCACGCCCCTGAGTACGCGTCCCTCTTCTTTTCTCTTTACTTACCTATCCACGCCCACCTTAACCTCTATATTCGTCTCTCAAAAATTAAAAATACAAAAGAGAAATAACGCTAACTCCCCCTCGCAGAATTCTAATCCTTTCGTCTGCATACTTCCGTCGTTCGGTCTTAAGGGGGTTCGGTCTGGGATGTAAATCGCATCATCAATGGCATTAGGAAGCCTCAAAGGGTCTTGCTCTGAATTCAGAAACATGAAAAATGAACACATCTGATGAATGAAACCTCTCCGTCTCGGCCGTACCATGAGTGACTAGTCGGTGCTACTTTCCCTTGCGGATCCCTAGTGATTGATTTGCAGCTCATCAACTTGAGACTGACCGAGCCCGCCCGCCTGTATTACAGCCGGGCCTCTGGGATCAGTATCCGAGTTGTACGTAGGCTGGGTGGTTACTGGGCGTTGCAAGTATATAAGACTCCGTCACCAACGGATCAAACTGTTTCATATAGCAACACAGGATAATTGTAGGTAGCCATACCCCAGTAGAATTCTCAAAGCTCTTTTCCCGTTTTTATAGCCTAGGACTTCGATATTGCAAGGGAGTTTCACAATTAATTGTACTTCATTTTACCACCCCTATTGCTGGCCAGAATAGGTAGATAGTCTAAATGTATATCCCTTATGCTCAAGACCCTGCTCAACTCTGTACTCGAGACCACAACACTTCGACCGCGTAAAAACAATAAAACCATAAATTAACGTGCAAATTTAGTCTCGTTTTCATTCAGGTCTAATACCTCCTAGGCTCTCTAAGTTACATGAAGACTAGCCCTGTCTGTCGTAATGCGAGCAGATGCAACCCGACCCTTGCAATTGACGCCGTGTCTGCTATCTATAGCCGTACAATAAAATACCGCGTTGACTACCCTTTCATCAGTGTCCACGGTGTAAAAGAAAATCTCTTCAACTACTACCATCCCCTGCGAAGATGAAGCGGAAAATGTGCAATTATGTACCCGAAAAATCAGGAGAAACGCGTACTAGGTCATCACGTAGCGTTCCACCGTCAGACCCTGTTCTCATTAGAACCCGAGTTAGAACTCCCATCTACCTAGAAGATTACAAAGGCATACGGTGAAAGGAGAGGTTTCGTTGACACATATTCGCTCATGAGGAGACGCCAAACTTCTCAGCAGCACCGGAAAGATACTGCGAAGGATCGTAGGCGTAGTTAGGGGCCAAGCCGCCGAAGAGGATGAACACAAATAGTAATGCTGCCGCGATGACGATTACCTTGCGCAGAGCAGGGCGCGTAGCACCAAACTCGGCCCAGTGTCGGCCGGCCTCACCAGCATATCCCTTGATGGCCTCAAGACCAAGTTTGTAGTAGACCATACCACCGAGCGCAATGGTGTAACCGAAAGCCTGGAGGCCGGACACAGGGGTACCCCAAATGAGCATGGAGGCCAGAACAAGCATGACATCCTTGAGGACACCACAGAGGGTCATGATGACAGCAGAGGTCTTGCCAATCTATACAACTTATTAGTACCTGTATTAATTCCTCGGAGACGTTGAAACTTACCAGGAAGACAACTGAGACATTAAGGAGGAAGGCGCAAAGTCCGTTCAAAAAGAAGGTGAAAAGACCGACGTGGTAAACTTCAGCAATAGAGACCTTGGGAATCTCCCAAATGAGAGCGACAGCACCGTTCATGGCAGCGCAGATGGGTGCAAAGTAATACAGAGAGACGAGAGGGTCCATCTTGTATTCGGCAGAGCTGAGCAGGGCCTGGACAAGGTTGAGACGGATAGCTTCGAACATAAGACCTCCCAACTGGTAGAAGAAACCAATCCAGACGAATCGGATCTCACCGAACGAGGCAATCATGACACCAACAACGATGGCGGATACGTTGAGGAGCTGCTTGAGGTTGGGGGGTGCAAGACCCATGGCCCAGCTGGAAAGTAAGACTGCAACGGGGGTGGTGGCCTGTCGTAATCCTTCGTCAGCAACATTATACTTCCACGATAACACCTGCTCGATTATTCATACCTTGATCATCTGGATGAAAGCGACACTGAGGTAGAGGTAGGTCAAGTTACCGCAGATCAAACTCAAGCTGAAGAAGACACCGATAGGAACGATAGCACGGAGGTAGACGCGTCCAGTCATCTTGACAGACTTGCGACCATCAAGGAGGGTGGTATAGCGCGCCATCAACTGTGTTGCAATGGTCGCGAACGTCAAGTGATAGGTGGTCAAGATAACGGGGTAACCTAGGACACTATTAGATTACATTTACGGCAGTCAAGTCAACAATGTTCAGGGGCTCTTACGGAATTCGAGGGTGTCGAGAATCCATTTGTTGAACAGAATGACAGACGACGAAAGACTGATCCATACTCTGTAGCAACTTGTTAGCTACGCGTCCTTATCCTGAATCGTAATTATATTGACTCGGGGGAGACTCGACATACGCAACGTAGAAGGCCGGGTGGATGGCCGGCTTGGGAGGCTGAGGTTTGTCGGCCTCGGGGTTCGTGGTAGGCAAGATGGGGCCCTTTGGCTCCGGTCGGGGAACCTCACCAGAGGTGCGAGTCTTTTCGTCCGCCATTGTATTGATTATTCACGTTCGAAGTGAAGGTTGAAGGTTGAAGATTTGCCAGTGCGATGTAACTAAGAAGAAAGGGGTGGAATGAATTGAAGAGGACACGGATAATGAATGAGCGACAAGGCCAAGCCTGCTGAGACCAATTAAAGATGTAGGTGAATTTTGGGGAGTAGCGTATTAACTGTTTACAAGTTTCTGCGGTTGTTGCCGAATTGTCAACTTTTGTTTTCTCTCTTCCGTAAACTTCAAAACAAGAAGTTGTTTGTGGTGCGGAGGAGAGATTTGTCAACAACTGGAGGGGGAGCAGTGGTGACAAAAAAAAAAGAGGATGGACAAAAAGAGATGGTACGGCTAATAAATTTTCAGAATCAGAGAGGTGCTTCTACGGTCGACAGGCCTACCCAGGCCTACCCAGGCACACCTAGCCACCCTTCAAGCGGTATCAAGCAGTATCAAGCGGTACCTAAGTAGCACTATGTAATGCGGTACCTTGTAGCAATTTGTGATCCCAAGAGCTTATCCCGCACAATTTTAGCCCCAAACCCGCCCCAATTGAATCAGCGCTTTCTAACACGGTCGCATTATCAGTGCGTTCCGTCCACTACAAGCAACACTTGCAGGCATCTTTTCGGCCTATGTGCCTTTACTGTGGCAGCTGTTGTGGTACCGGTAAAGATAGGGTGATTGTACAGGTACAAACCACAATCTAATCCACCCCCACTACATAATGTAAAGCTCATTCCCTGGAATTCCCTGCGTCCAGGGGAGTCAGGGGCTAATAATTGCGTAGTGCTGCCCGAAAGGGATAAGCGCACGATGAGGAAATATCTAAAACCTGCAATCTACAGCCGCTGATGTCGTTTTAGGAGGCTCTCATTTTATCATTGGCTTGCATTAGAGCCCATTTTTGAATATCCCTCCCCACGACAGCCACAGAACAAGGACTTGGAGGTCATCCAATACAAATTTAGAAGATTACAATGCTTTCACATTAAAGAGTTTTTGTTTCAGGATAACATTCTATCTAAGAAGGAGGCATTTGCAACCTTTGCGAGACATACCAGATCATTTTAAGTCTAATAACAAATAGCATTCTTCACGTTCTGCGAGTTCGTGACTCGTTATTAAGTCGAGTCTAGGGAGTATGTTACGCTTTAGGCTTCCTACATGTTCCTTATTCCTGTTTTGTAATCCGGTAGGTACTTGTCAGCTCAACTCAACCTCGTATACAATACCGCACTACGAGTCTATCTACGAGTCTATACATAGGTATTCAGTCGGCGGGTGGGCTGGGCTGGGCTGATGGAGAAGCGGGATGTTTTGTCATGGAAAGAAACCATACATAGGTATATAGACATAGAAACAACGGACGAGCCGGAGAATATCCACCAAAAGATTTGTTTCATCTACTGCTCGTCATGAGATATCTAAAGCTTGTTCGTAGACTAAATCAGGGCTATCGATAAAATTACAGACTGTGCCGTTGCTACTCCGCTGTGACGTAGTGACGTAGTGTTACCGCGATAAAAAAGCAAAAAAAAAGTTCCGATTTCCAACCATGTTTTTTTTGGGCGGGCCAGGGCTATCAGAGGCTATCGTGAAAAGAGACAATGAGGCTACGCGGGGTCCTTCACACCATTTTTAGTCAATTGGCCGCTCGTCGCGCTGGACGTAAGGTTTTGTTCGTATCGAACGTCATCAGGTTCTGTTCGGTCCAAAATACGAGATGCAAGGCATGTATATAAACTTCGAGGCCGCGTATCACGGGCTGAGGCTCTCGATTCGACATAATTCAATATGTTCAACGTTTCATCGCCGCGAATCATGCCGGCCGCGCATCTGCCCGGATTTCTATTTTATTTTTTTATTTTTTTTATATATAAAATACCTGAGTCGTTGATAATTGTGTTCTGGCCAATGTCTCGCCGCCTGCTGGATAGCATAGCTAAGCGGCATCCCGCGTCCCATACAAGTGGTTGCTCATGTTACAGATAAATAGCTTGGATTGGTTAAGTACATACGACCTATGACCCCTATCTTGGTTGATTCTTCTTTATCGGGGTACGGTTTTTACTCAGCTAAATAAGCCTTTTTTATGGCGTCGTCTACTGCATGTCAGCTTCCAACCGTCGATATATGTATTAGGCTTGTTAGGACTCAGGGCTCAGGCCTGTGCTCGTAGAGGTACGCTAACCGTTGAACGTTGTTAGCCACGTGCAATAAAGGCTTATCTAGCCTTAATTATAAAAGGGCCTATCCGCGGTGTATTATGCCTGCAATTATCAATATAATTACTATTACCACGGAGCATAGAGTTTGTAAAATAGGTATATCAGTTAATGCCTCGCTTAGTTAACAGGATCATGCAAGATGATGGTATGATGTAAGCTGCCCCTGGCTTGCTTTGCTTGGTAACGAGTTTAAGCCCTACATGTACGAAGTACTGCTGTTTCTTGATCCCGGGAGCTCTATGTACAATACGGAATACCTACCTAGAAAAGACGCTGTTTAGCTATTATACAATACTACTACATACGGCTGACTCCGTACCCGAAATACAAGATTGGATAGTTAAACAGATATTACCATGTACGTATCTGACTATGTTAGAAACGGTCGCCATAATTTTGCAACAAATATTTATAGTAACCACCCTAATATTGCTAAGCCATCAAGCCATTATACATAGTGTAAAAGATCAGACCAATACAGTAGATATCTGCATATTCAACTGTCCGACATTTTCTAGCCTCCCCACCCTGTCCGGACTATCATCATCTCTTATGTACAGGAGCCGGCTGAAAGCTAGTCCTTTAGTTGATGGCCATATACACACACTCAAGAAGAAGCTATTCTGAACTTGGTTTCAACGGAACTGAAACTCGAGTTATTTCCACTTGGAGATATTTCTTTTTGAGCCGCCAGGCGCTCCAGTGGGCCAACATATAAACTTGAGACGGCGGCGGCTTGGGGCGAGTTTGCAAATCTTGACCGTTGATCTCGCGGAGCTAACCGGTCCTGAGGCTCCAACTAGAAGTCTAAGTCGAGAGGGATGCGCTTTTACCAGCCAAACTTGGTAGTGCCATGAGCGGAAAAGAAGATCGACAAAGGCTGATGTATAGGTACATGGACGTTAGAAATAGCCATTGACCTGGGTATGAGCGGGACACGACCTTATCGAAATTAAACGATCTTCAAAATCCCAATTTGGGTGACGAATGCAACACGTTAATCGCAAAGTGACAGGAGTGGATAAGCCAGTGGGAGATGTATGTACATAGACAGATTACATTGTACATAGTAGAGACCGTAGGGTCCCTAGGGGGGGGGGGGGGGTGGCACTGGTGGGAAGCCGCGCATACATAGCACATAGAAGAACAGTTCTCCGATATTAGTTCTTTTATTTTCAGAGATAGTCTCAACACCAACTCAGATGCCGGGGGTTCTAGAGCTGGCTGGCCTCTAGTAGATTTCTTTTGTACTTCCTTATACATAATAGGTGTTCCCACCTCCTGACTCGCTAAGAGCCCATGCTACATACATACACTACACACATAATATGTACATACATACCACAAAAGAATTGTCCTAACATAGCTCAACTGTGGAGTTTGGTGTAATGCACCGGGGAGAAAACACCGGGGAAGAAAGGTCGGGGTTGATGACAACGATGTGTTGTTGACCGTTGACCGGTAAAAGATGCTTAAGCTTTCCTTACCAATCTTGCCTTGCATGCACACGTGGTATCACCAAGACGCTATAGAAAATCTACAGTATGTACATACATACGTAGGTACACATACGTACACACATGCTATCTATGTATTCTATTTCAGGTGTCCAGCCTAAAATGTCGTGCGCGATAACTTTGGAGGCTCGATACGTACATAGTTGGACGAGTACAAGGGACGGGTATGAGCTTCATCTTACTATAAGATTACGAGCAGGGGTTTCCCGGTGTTCAGTCAACCCTCACTTGTTGGTAATTCTTTCGATTTGCAGCCACACATCCCGAATTTGCTCCTATCCAGCCATCCAGCCTTCTCTTCACATGCGGGTATGTATGTATGTATGTATGTATGTATGTATGTATGTGCGTGTGTATGTGTGTGATGTCCGTTATGGACTAGCACGGTAAGTTAATAGATCAGCGACTAGCGATCGTCATAACATATCCCCCCCTATTTGAGGAATTTTTTATGTAGGTTAGGTAGGGAAGAGTTCTCCTGAACTTACCCCTGACTTGTTGACTTGTCAATGGTTGCCCAAGGAGGAGGCAAACTAGCGGTAACTAGGCGGTATCTAAACATATTAAAATTCGTCCTACTCAAGCAAATCATGATAGCGAGGCTGCTCTGGCTACTCTCGCTACTCAAGCAGAGTTCGACGGGAAACCCGTTACCTCTGGTCCCTGCAGCTAGCTACATAGGTACCTACCTAGGTTAGGTATGTACTTCAAATAATCCGTCTTGAGATGTACATGTAGCGAATGTAGCGAGGGGGGAAGAGATTGATCTCGAATAACTTTATCTTGGATCTTTGATTTAGCCACACCGTTTTATACAAAGTCTCGATTGCTCGAATACTCCATGTTGTACTTGATGCATATAACATGAGGTAAACGTCTGGTCTTTTATTCGATATGCCTCTATTAGGTAGCAATAGTGATACCTGATAAAGACGAGTCGGGTACTTTTTTGTAAGGTACATACCTAGGTAGGTAGGTAGGTATATACTTAAGGTATGTATCCAGAGTAACATGGAGGTGCAGGTACCATCTTTACCGAATTTGGTATTAAACCCCATCCAATTGGGCGGATGAATGTTGCCAAGTTGCATAACGGAGAGACAGGGGTGGCTTCATGCGTGGGGCGGCGCACAAGCCTGCACCCAGCTTAGGGTGACACTAAGTATCATCCACAATTTTAGTTTATCTAGTACCCCTCCAAAATATTATAGAAAACACCACGCTGCTCTTTTACGACTCTGTTTTTATTTCCTTTGGGAATCCTCCTTGCCTGCCACACGATCCATTCGCGTTATAACATAGAGTTAGACGGACTTTATCCTGCATCATTCATTGACTTGGATAGTCTCTCATCCGTTCTTTTCGCCTTGTAAAGACAGTTCTGTCTTCAAAAGACCTCTCTTGACCTGGTCAACTTCCCCGCCCTGATCTGGAAACTATACCCAGACAACCCCAAGAACAAGATGTGTGCAGACATGTAAGTTTCTTAGTTCCATGTCTAGGAGAAAGAACTCTCCAAAGTATTCTCTTTTAGTGAAGCCTAATTAACTAACCTTTGCTTTCGTAGTAATGTCGACGTTCTCGTTATCGGTGCTGGCCCTACGGGTCTAGGTGCTGCGAAGCGCCTCCACCAGCTGGTATGTCTTCACCGCCTTTCAAACCAATGTGCATGTTAAGCTAACATTTTGTAACAGAACGGTCCCTCGTGGCTGATCATTGACTCCAATGAGAAGGCTGGTGGTCTTGCCTCTACGGACGTCACTCCTGAGGGCTTCGTAAGTCTATACTATCCTCGAGCTCGTCGTGCCTAGCAAATAACTAACCTTGAATTCTGCTCTATAGCTCTACGATGTTGGTGGCCACGTCATTTTCTCTCACTACAAGTACTTCGACGACTGCATCGACGAGGCTCTCCCTAAGGAAGATGACTGGTACACTCACCAGCGTATCTCCTATGTCCGCTACAAGGGCCTCTGGGTTCCTTACCCTTTCCAGAACAACATCTCCATGCTGCCTAAGGAGGATCAGGTTGAAGCTCTCGACGGCTTGATCGATGCTGCCCTCGAGGTTCGCGTCTCAAACACGAAGCCCAAGGACTTCGACGAGTGGATCATGCGCATGACTGGTTCTGGTATTGCCAACATGTTCATGAGGCCCTACAACTACAAGGTCTGGGCCGTTCCCACCACCAAGGTAAGCTATGATCTCGCACATGCTAGTCTTTTGTATCCATTTCTAACTTGCAATTTAGATGCAATGCCAATGGCTGGGTGAGCGTGTCGCTGCCCCTGACGTCAAGAATGTGGTAAAGAACGTCGTTCTGAACAAGGTTGCCGGAAACTGGGGCCCCAACGCCACATTCCGCTTCCCCGCCCGTGATGGTACTGGTGGTATCTGGATCGCTGTTGCAAACACTCTCCCTGACGAGAAGAAGCGCTTCGGTAAGAAGGGTGAGGTCACCAAGGTCGACGCCAACAAAAAGGTTGTCACTCTCAAGGATGGTACTACTATCGGCTATGATAAGCTTGTCTCCACCATGAACGTCGATCAACTAGTCGAGTCCATGGGCAACCAGGAGCTGGTTACCCTGAGCAAGGGCCTATTCTACTCTTCCACTCACGTCATCGGCGTTGGTCTCCGAGGTGCGCGGCCAGAGCGTATTGGCGACAAGTGCTGGGTAAGCCATTCCATCTTACTAGCGACATGAGTTGAACTATAGCTAACTATTGTAGCTCTACTTCCCTGAGGACAACTGTCCCTTCTACCGCGCCACCATCTTCTCCAACTACTCGCCTTACAACCAACCTGAGGCTGATGTTAAGCTCCCTACCATCCAAATTGCCGATGGCAGCAAGCCTACGAGCACAGAGCCCAAGGAGGGACCCTACTGGTCTATCATGCTTGAGGTCTCGCAATCGTCCATGAAGCCTGTCGACGAGGCAAACCTGCTCAAGGACTGCATCCAGGGACTGATCAACACTGACATGATCAAGCCTGAAGACGAGATTGTCTCCACTTACCACCGCAAGTTCGATCACGGTTACCCCACACCTAGTCTGGAGCGTGAGGGTGTCCTGAAGCAACTTCTCCCCAAGCTTCAGGACCTGGACATCTACTCCCGTGGTCGCTTCGGTAGCTGGCGATACGAGGTTGGTAACCAAGACCACTCGTTTATGTTGGGTGTCGAGGCCGCAGACCACATCGTCAACGGTGCCGTTGAGCTTACGCTCAACTACCCTGATTTCGTCAACAGCCGCCAAAACACTGAGCGTCGTCTTGACCAAGGCCCTCTGGCTGCTAAGAAGAACGGTACTTCTCTACCCTCGCGCTCGAAGTAAGGGTTTATCTAGATGCGAGGAAGGATCCGGAGGCACACACATTCTATTGACTTTATGGTAATAGATATTAGAAGAACTAAAAAGTTTTTCGTTGAGAACTACATAGCGTGTAGTTATTCATGTTTGACGAGTGCGACGGTGGTGGAATACTGTAACGATTCTGACTTGATCTTGCAATAACGAGACGGCGCCAAAAGCCGATGTTGCTAGGTTGCCCGAAGGATTTAATGAATAGAAATAGATTTATGAGCTTACAACTATTCGTCGATGCAGAAATATTAATGGTTACGTGAGAATCGATTAATCGGTTTAGACATTAATTAAGAAGTTTATGATAAGAGATATAACTACCTTAGGTACACAATATGGCATCATCTGTCGTCAGCCTTGCAGTGTTTAAATGAAGACAAGTAGTTTTAAAGAGTTTATTGAATAAATTTCTGACCGGTTGATTTATGCCTGTTACTTGAAGATTAAATGATAATATGCTGTAAAACATGAGAAATTACCGATCGTGTCATTATTGTATAATACTATAAGATTACTACTATACGTTTCATTTGAGAATGTTGTCGAGAAGAGAGTCGTAAACGGACTGGATCAGGTTCGTTAGACGGCTGGACTAGGTATAGCATCAAGTACCTAATGGTCACTCTGCCACTTGTATCAAAGGCTTGCGCTGGTAGAATACATGGATAATTTGGATTCGCTGCCAAGGCTTTTGCCCTTCCTTCCTTGCTGCACAACTTCGTCACAGCCCACAGGAAGGCGTTCTCTCTCACCAGTAAACTCAGTAAACTCGGCAAGCCCCAGGTAGTTTTGTGAAACGCAGGTGGTCTAAAAGTTTTGCAGTAACTGAAAAACTACGTTAAGTCCGAAATCTTGTAGCGGTAAAAGAGGGGTTGGTTATGTAACTCTTGTTAGGGCAGTACAGGATATAGGCGGCACAGGAAAGGGCAAACCTGGGCAGACAGGCAGAGCAGAATGTACTATGAGGTAGGCAGGTAGGTACCTATGTTAGGTAGGTATAAGCGTTAGTCATCCAACTACTCGTAGTACATGTAGGTAGTCTATGTCCTATGTAATAGTCTTTCCTCTTGCATCTACATGTAGTTACTGCTTTTTATTAAACGAGTTTTCTTGTATAACACTGTGGCCAATTCATAATAGGAACTTGGATTACATCAATGTACAATAGAGCAAACTGGCCTCCCGGATGCTA